AATAATATGAGACTTCCGAAAATTATGGTTGCAAAATGGGGAAATAAATCCAAGCTCAATATTTTGGTGCTTCCAAGAGCCAAATAACGTTACATATCGAAATGAGTTATTGTACCGAGAAATCACAGTCGTTTTGTACAATATCAGACAACAATGCCCATGAACCTGCAGCCATTGGACGCATCTTTTGCCTGTTAGCCGAGGATCAAGAAAATAAACACGCTGACAAAAGTACCGCATTTTTTTTCTGATGGCCCTACCTTCCAATATCGTCAAACAATTTTTTTCCTGCTCAATGTATTCACAGAAAAGTTGAAGCTTGACCACCTGTTCGTATTCTGAAGTATGCGAAAGGAGTGGCGGATGGCATAGGAGGTTCAGTTAAGAGCGCTTTAGATCGTTAAGTTGCATTTGGCAGGGATGTTGAGAATGGTTTACAAGCATGCTCGTATCTTTAAAAATGTATGAAAGTCGTAAAAATTATACATATACCCAACAGAGATATTGATAATATTGAAATGATTATACCCGAAAATCTCAGCACAACAAAAGGCACTATGAAAATACATCAAATTTTGTCATGTACACCAAACTGCATTAAATATAGAAGTCTGTCTTGTTTTTGTGGCATTAAAAGGAGTTGTTCTAATGTTTTGTTCCGAGAACACACGTTTTCAACAACAAGATATTTATTACAAAAGATTACCAAAAGGTGCGATTCTACTGTTGAGATTGTTAACTTTTCTTCCTATCATCAAACGGACATACAAATCTCTTCATACTTTCATTCATCTGCTACAACAACCAATAAATACAACAAATCTCCAATAAAAGTCGCAAAAGTAACCGAGCCTGATCATGTTGTGATCACGGTAACAGCTGATATCTATGAAAACTATCGAAACAATCTTAAATATTTACCGATACCTGAGAACTCTGATAAAATCGTTAATTCAAACAAAGAAAATATAGATTTCAATCGAATTCAGATTGAGGACCAAGAACCCCTTTCCTTAAATGATATTAGCATGGACTTGGATATAAATTTTAATAATGTTGCTGATGTAAATAATCACAAAATGGAAGATGCTTCAATATACGCAGAGACCAAGGATCTTAACAACCATATTACTACGGATAATTTATTTAAAAGGAAAGACCAAAACGAATCTCTTGGTATTGATAAACTTTTTTATAAGGAAAATGTCATGTATGAACCTGTTCCTAAAAAACAAAAAAGTAACATATTAAAAATTAAGAGTATATCAACCAAAAAATGTATTCACCGCGAGCAAAACCGAAAAATATAAGTCCTTGAAAACAATTAAACGCACTTTACTCTCTTTTTACACTTTATTACTTGCCTCAACAAGTGTACCCAATGTGATTTCTATTAGTGTATAAAATGCTCTGGCAATTTAAATCTTAGTAGTGATTATATTTTTATTTATGTTTTTCACCCACCTTGTATGTTTTTATGTCTTATTAACTTCCAAATGTATATTTTGTGTGTGTATTGATGCTAATAAACCATGTCTATGTCTATAAGTGTGATTTTTGTTATAAGTAATTGATTTTAATTATTTATATTCAGTTATTAGTTGATCTCGTTGATTATAGAAAAAGCTGTTAGTAAATTAGTAGTCTGATTTATAGTAACATCTAAATAGGATAAATAGACACCAAGAATGACTTTTTGCTTTGTTTTTTCTTTTTTTTTATTAAAAAACGTTACCTCCACACTAGGATTTTCTCCTGTGTCGTGGAGGCAGTTTACAAACATAAATTGCACAAGGACAAACATCCAGACCCGGAACAATTATTTGTAGGCCCTACAAATACTTGTTCCGTGCGGGATTCGAACCAGCGGCCCCCAGCGCAACAACTCATTGCTAAGCCACTGCGACATAGCTTTAAAAGATGTGGCGTTAATTTTCATTTATCTTTATTATGTTAACCAAAATAACAGTATTAAATTGAATAATATGGATACGGCTTTACGTTTTAGTTACGTTCCATTGAGAGATTGCCCCCTTATTTTAGTATATTGATTTTGCATATATTTTTTTTTATTTTCTGCTATGCACGTGTTGTATATATGTAGCCGTTTTATGAAAATGTTTCATTAATTATAGAAGGAATTTAACTGTCATATGATCGTAGTTACTAATTTTAGAAGAATAAGAAGTATGTGGTAAAGTTAGCAATGTAACTCACAGGACTTACTGTTTCAAATACACAGTTACTTTAATTATATTTCATGTTTATTTGTCATTATTTCATTAATTTTTCCCATTCTTTTTATCATAAAATATAATATGTTAATGTACATTGAGTTTCATTATATTTTTTTACAAACCAACAATTTGTTTCTCAGTGGATAATTTTTTGCTAACTTCTTTAAATAAAAGGCTATTATATGCTAATTTCTGTACTATTTATGTTTTATTATTACAAACAAATGTAATTCACAGATTGAGGAACTAAATTAATTAATTTTATAAGAACAGCCATCCATTTTATTTTTTACTCAACTTTAAAAAAATAAGACAACAAAATAAAAATAAATGCCCATTTATGATATACAGGAGTTCATTACAGGCCTATTTCATGTCTGAGAGGTTCAGCAAGTTAACTTTCCTCAATCATTAACCCTAACAGAAAACTATAAAGTTGAATGAAATCAATGTTGCAAACATCCAATTTATAACATAGTGGAGAGTATGCTGTGTTGCAGTTATTAGAGCGTTTTTTTACTGGCCGACACAATAATAAATGAAACGTGAACGAAATGTATAAAATTGTTAAGAGACAAAATATAAGCAAATAACTTTTAAAGGCAGTGTAATTATTTGCCTTTTATATAAAAAACAAATCAACAAACTTTCTTTTGTACCTAATTAATTTTTTAAAATTGACGCCTCTTGCACTCACAAGGCGAAGGCAATAGACTTAAGTATATAAAGTAAGCGGGACGGTAAACGCGCAACCTCGTGATTTGAAGTACGTTACTTAATTTAGAGAAGCGTAATTTAGTAACGAATCTAATACAATGACTTTTTTTTAACGAAACTAATTCTAATAAAATTTAATAAAAACGAAATTAATTCAACTAAAATTCGAAATATAAAATAAAATTCTTAATATAACTAATTCAAATAAAATTTAGAACTAGTTGAATTAGTTATATTAAGAATTATACAACTAAAATTTTAAACAAAACATAAAATTATTAATATAACCAATTCAAATAAAATTTAGAATTTCAGTTGTATATTCTTATAAATAACATGTAAAAGAGAGTTGTATAATTCTTATAAATAACATGAAAAAGAATTGTGCTGAGCACTCTTATCTATTGTTCTGAGTTAATGTAGTGATTATATACTCTTTGGTTCTGAGTGGTCCCTTCTAAATATTACTATACTCTGGCGCGGTTTTCAAAATTATCATGGGGGAGACTAAGATGTTTTTATAGTATAGATACGTCATACTCGCTCTAAAATGGCAATACGAAAGTCAGGTAATTGCCCGACTCGCATTCAGTTGGGCACGCTCTCGCGTCGCGGCTATACCTTCGCTACAGCGCGTAAATCTTCTAGTTATTCGTGGTAAAAATGCCTTCCTGTGTTTTTAGGTGGTGCACAAATTACACGACAACTGTTAGAGACAAGAAAAACGTCTCATTAATATTTTGAATATAGATGTTTTGTTCATAATTGGTTTTATTATTTCAACACTAACCGCTAGTGCAAACTTTGACGCTAGCTAGTGTGTTCATTTCCATATCGGTATGTCACGAGCGCGCCAATGAGCGCTCAGCAGCAATCAATATGCAACTAATGATGTATATTCATCTTTTTCTAACGATATGTATGCCGTATCATTTGTCTCTTTTTGTTAGCGCAACGTGTCATAATAAATAACTGTACGTAGATATAGTACTACATGCGCCACTTTAAAATACAATAATGTTAGTGTGTATCTTTTTTAATACGTCTTTGGGGGGAGACCGACGTGGACCGATGGTACTTGACAGATTAAATAACAAGTGGTAAAATTAAAAATTTTGTACAACCGACTTCAATATAAATAAATTGAGAACATCATCAATGTAGTCGAAGTCAATTAAATACGCATTATTAAGGATAACTCAAAAACTGCTGGTCAGATCTTGATAAAACCTATATGGGACCAAATGAGAAGCACCAGCCTTCGAATAAAAAAAAAATTATCAAAATCATTTCACCTGGAAAAAGTTCTGATGTAACACAAAAAGAATATGCTTGAATTGAGAGCCTCCCCCATTTTTGAAATCGGTTGAAAAAGTTTCTAGACAATATCGGTGTGTGTGGTAGGTCGATGACGACATATCGTTATTGATAACCATAATGAAACAACGCACTTATCGGTATATTGATCACATAATTTATTTTGGTGTTCTACATAACATTTCTTTAAAAGATTAGGCTAAGGCATAGGTCATATCAAAGTTCTGCAATTTTATAATCTAATTTATAAAAATATTTTATTGATTTTCATTTAGAGCATGTATAACACTCAACTTTCAACGTCTCTGCAGCATTCAGTTTCACTACCAACTTATTATGAGACAAATATTTTTACAGCAATTATTCTTTAATGTGAGATTATTAGGTTAGTACTCTGTGTGACAATGTTAAAGATGTAAAATGGGCTTTTGCCATGGTGAAGTAAGTAAAAATAAAATACTGATTTTATTTCACGTTTAAACAAATTAATATACATGTGGAAACTGATGAAACTAATTCCTTATCTTTAAATCAGGACGACCCACAGTTTTTTACCGCACATGTAGTGTGAACCATTTTAATTTATTTGCGTGACAGGACAACTCCATCTTGCACCACACCCGCACCACACGATTGCCCCCGTCTAGAAGCTTTTGATGACCGACTGTTATTAGTAGTTAGACTGTGCCAACACTGCGAGCATTCTGATACACTAGGGTTTATTTACGGCTAAATAACATTATGTGTTACATTTACATGGGTCTTAAGGTCCATTTTGTTATTAAATATCAATTTACAAAGTCGACAACAAAATCTACCTCCGTGAGTCCGTCTCATATGACTATTTAAGCCTTTATCTGAATAGAAAGATTGTTGACAAACCTGACAGTGATGGGGTTTCGTGCCTATATGCTTTCTAAGATGAATAACCAAGTCTTTCCTACACTTAAACACTTTTTTACAGAATTCACAAGTCTCCTTTGAATACGAACTGTGCACTTTTTTATGACAACTCAAATTGTATTCTGTGTAGAATTGTTTCTCGCACATATCACAACTGTAAGGTTTTATTTGCAAATGTGACTTATTCACGTGCAGAGATAGTTCGTTTCCATTTGAACACTCTTTTTCACAAAAACTGCATATCTGGACTTTAAGTTTCTTGACCATGTTGAATTTGACTGCATGCCTTTGTAAGTGACTGTCAAAACGTTTCTGGGACGAGAACAATTTATCGCACAGCAGACATTCTTTGGTCTCATGTGTTTTTTTGTGTTTTAGTAACATTTTTAAGTCCGCAAAACTTCTACCACATATCTTACACACACTATAGGATTTATCGTTTGCAATGTGAACCATCTTAATATGTTCAAATAGATAGAACTTTGATTTAAATTGCTTTGAACATAAATGGCAATTTATTTTCATGTTAATGTGCTTCAAAACATGCTTTTTAAGGAAATAATCCGAAATGAAATGTTTACCACAGAAAGGACATGTAAATTTAGGTTTACGCCTCTTTAATGGCTTTGGTTTCATTTTAAATGTTAAGAATTCACTACAGATATTATCAACAGGGGTGTTTTTCAAATTATGGCTGTTTGTTCCCTTTATTTGATAACCATTCACTAGTTTTTTATTAAAATATTTTTTGGTAGCATCTCTTGCTGGATTGTCAAAAAATAAATTTGTATTAGCACTAAATGGATAGTGAGTATTTTTAAGATTGTCACTTCTCTTAATGTTTTCCTCTTCTATACTAAAATCTTCAAATTTTGAACTGTCATCGTCCGAGCTTTCAGATTCTATTCTAAATTCATCCTCTAGGACCTCTACTTTTAATTTTGATTCATCTATATCACAATCTTCACTTTGAAAAACATCTTCTACCGGTTCTTCCTTCACCATTAAAGGTAAAATAGTATCTGCTGATATTTCTACCATTATGTGTCGGTAATTATCTGAATTGCCTACTTCTTTTAAATTCTCTAACATTAGACTAATACATGTCTGTAATCTATCTCTAGTGTATTTAATCTTATTAACAAAAATGTAAGAGGCTAATGCATGATTTAGACATGTTTCGCAAATTTTTGTCCCAGTGTTGTCATGAACAGTGTTCATCTGCAACAAAAAAATAATGTTTAAATAAAAATGAAAAAGCTAATATTGTGGCGGTTGAAAAGGATATTTAACGACATGGCATAGATATTAATGCTTTAGGGAAAATAATTTGCGATAGAGTAACAATTGGACACAAAATTTTAAAATTTGTTAAAAGCCTACTTTAAAACATATATATACTGAAGACTATGTTGTTTGGAAATAACTCTTACTGTACTTCGTATTTTAAGTTGTAATAAATTAAATTATAACATGGCATTCAAAAAATTTATTAATAATAGACCCTAGAATTTTCTTTTCCGAGGTCTTGTTTTTACGAACTGCTATAATTGTGATTTTCATATTTCACAAGAGCTTTGAAGAAACCAATTATCTTAAAAAAATTGATGATTGTTTTATTAACAGTAAAACAATCATCAATCTGTTGCAATTATAGGTGAAGAGTTACAGAATTGAAGTCTAGGGTAATCAATTTGAGCTGAAAGCTAAACTATTATAAAACAATCCTGTATATTTTATAAACTAAATATATCTTACCATTATTCACTTTCACAGACTTCAAGTTTAAAAAATCAATTTATAATTGATTATAAGAAAATAATAGCTCATCATGATTATTCCCTACTAAGTAAGGTAAGTTGTTAATATAAACAATGAATTGGAGTGGGCTAAGAATCAAACCCTGCGGAATTCCTTTTGATACTAACAACTTAGACAAACATACTATTAACAATCATTTGCATTTTATTTCCTTGATATGAAATAAAATATTTGAGGAATAACCAACTAACATGTAAATTAAAATTACTAATGTTTTATCATTGTGATTGTAGTGTTGTACATTCTAGTATAACTCAAATAAAAATGTTGTACAACCAACTTCGATATAAATTAATAATTATTAAGATCTGACCTGTAGTTTTTGAGTTATCCTTATAACTCAAAAACTACAGGTCAGATCTTGATCAAATTTCTATGGGACCACATGAGAAGCACCAGCTTTCAAAAGAAAAAAAAAAGAATCATAGAAATCGGTTGACCAAGAAAAAGTTATGAAGTGTGTTACAATTTTTAAAAAAATACAGTTGAATTGAATACTTCCTCCTTTTTGAAGTCGGTAGAAAATATAAATAACTAATAATTAATAATAAATTACTTAATATTCTTGCTATGGCTCATTTCCAGTATTGCACGACCCTTAAGTTGTTAGATTTTTTTTAATAGAATGTGGGTGACATATGAGCATACAGTTCACCTGATGATAAGTGAATGCTATGGCCCATAGACATCTGCATCTATTCTCGATTAAAAATCAGAACGCAAATGCGTTATCCCCCTAAGGACTTAGACAGAATGTGTCCTTTGCAGTAAAAAGAATCTTCGGTTGTACACTCACCATAAGAAAAGATAGATGGTACTGTGCACACTATTAAAGTCTATGTGAGCAAATCCGCACGATATAGCTAGTAATTATATGCGCCTAATTATCGAAAGGTTTCTACAGCACCTAGACGCGTGTAGTCAAATATCAGGCTTAGCGGCTCATCTTAGAAGAAGCCTATTTACGTTGAAAAACACCAGTTTTATTGCAATTACAGTGGAGACTAGCATAGATTTTACTAGTGTCTAGTAATATGTAATTACATTTCATAAAAACTATCCTCTAGCTTAATAATTCCGTAATACTAAACATACTATTACATTACCATACTATATACTTTAGATTCATATACTACATTATATTATTAAAATATACTTAATTCAATTAATCAGTGCTCTCTTATGTAAAATGCTTCTTATTACTTTCGTATCCCTTCTTTTATCTTGAAGAGACCCTGAGCCAATATTAAACTGAATAGATGGGAATTGACTGTGTAATGAGACATTAGCTACACTTTCAAAATATTGCTCCATTTCTTGGGGTAAAAATATTGGCTGTGATACTTTTATTTGATTTACAATGCTCTCTTCCTCACAATAAAAATCCATTGGTTCTACAGATACGGGTTCAGCTTGCATTTCGTTTTCATTATGTTCATGGACTAATGGATTTTCTATTTCCATTTGAGTATCATAAGTTACTGCTACTAACGAAGATTCATTAACTTCATTTGATTTAATAGAATCATCAGTTATTTTATATTTACTATCCTTAAGTATTGAGTCATTATCTTTCTTTACAAGATTATTTCTATGGATGTTACTCTTAATTACTTCTTGATTGTTAGATGTTTTAAAAGAACCGCTGTTGTTATGGGTAAAGTTAAATTTGACAATATTTTTTGAATCACCCATATCACAACAAAAACATGTTTCTCTACTATCGTTATTAGTGAAGCATATACTGCATTGCCATTTGAATTTAGGTTTGTTGGTATCTGTTGCATCTGCAATTTTTCTCTTTCTAGATTCATAATCAAGTTCATTGGGTTGGAATTTGTCAGCTGCACTTTCTAACGTGTTAATGTCTTTCATTATTTTCTTACAATAATCACATTTATCTAATTTACTAAATATCCAGCACATGTTACAGTTTTTAATTTGAGAATCTTCTCTATCTATTTTAGGTGCATTGTTATAATTAAGATCTAAATTACGGTACTGGGTCAAGAATTCGTCTTTAATACACTTCTCACATTGTGCCTTTTTAAATATCCAACAGATTCGACATAGCATCAATGTTGCCGGTTCGCCACTATTTTTATAATAATATATTTCAATTGAATCTTTGTTTTCATTTTTTGTACTTTGATTTGGTAACTCCTGAGAGCTATCAGTTTTTAAAATATTTACTGCAGTTATATAAGTTTCATCAACTGATTTGAAATCATCAAAAATATTAGATGGCTTAGAAAAAGTGAATAAAAATGTACTGTCTTTTAAATATTTCATAGAAATTTTCAAATTAATTAAAGGCACTGACAACACATGAGACTTTTGAATAAAAGCTTTTCTTTCTGTGTTAGGGCACCCTAAATTTGTACCTCTTTTTCTAATTATTATGATACTTGCTTGTTTGGGAATATACAATTCCTCATATTTGTATGACGTTTTCTAGAAAAGGATGAAAAAATCACTGCAATGATTCAGGTGTCATACAAGTGATAACAAAAATTCTTCATCCCAAGGTTAAAAGAACAGTATTTAAAATTTAGCAAAAATATAGTCATCATCATCATCATCATCATTACAGCCCTTCACAAGTCCACTGCTGAACATAGGCCTCCCCCAAGGAAAGCCACAAAGCGTGGTCCTGAGCCACCTGCATCCATCGACTTCCTGCATGTCTTACCAGGTCGTCACTCCATCTAGAGGAGGGACGCTCTACACTTCGCCTGCCGGTATGAGGCTGCCAGTCGAGAACCATTCTTCCCCATCGGTTGTCGGTTCTTCGAGCTATACGGCCGGCCTATTGCCACTACAGCGTACTACCCAACCATCATCATCATCACAGGTTATTGAGCATAGTTGTTATATCCTCCAGCAATTCTGCCATAAGGACTATATCGTCGGCAAATCGAAGGTGAGTGATGTACTCGCCATAGATGTTAATAAGGTATCCTTTCCAGTTTAGTAGCTATAAAACGTCATCCAATGCAGCAGTGAAGAGTTTCGAGGATATAATGTCACCCTGTCTTACACCTCTGCAGTTGGATAAGTATTGTACTCTGATAGCCATTGTAGCCTTACTGTACAAACACTTCAGCACTTTGATATACCGACAGTCAACTTGGCACCGCTGAAGGGACTGTAGCACCGCCCAAATTTCGACGGAACCAAAGGCTTTCTCATAGTCCACATACACAAAGCAAAGTGGCAGATTGTACTCTTCTGTCTTCTGTACAATTTGCCGAAGGGTGTATCTGGTCTATGGTACTAAAGCATCTTCGGAAATCGGCTTTTCAGAAGGTTGGAAGTCGACGAGTCTGCGCGTGAGATGATACGTAATGACTTTCGAAAACAGCACGTAGACGCGGCTCAGTAGGGAAATCGGTCTGTAGTTCTTGTCGCCTTTCTTGAAGAACAAGACCACTGAACTTCTGATCGCCTCTGGTGTAATGCCACCATGGAGGACGGAATTAAAGAGCTTCTGGAGGACTTCAAGTAGCAGCTTTTTATTATTTTATTCTATTCTATTCTTTTAAGGTGCTGGAGAGCCATTTTAATCTCGCTAAGACTGATGTCCTCAGTATCATCGGAATAGTGTCGGAATAGTGTCGTATCAATCGGAATAGTAGTGTAAGACTCGCTCTTGAATCGTTACTTACACTCGCATGTGGCTCCAACGATGACTTGTACAGCTGTACAGCTGAGATTGAGAGGTTCTATGGGCAGCTGCCAATAGTACCTCTCAATTTCACTCAAAATCTCAGGTGTTCCAGAGACGATGTTGCCACACTAATTTTTTAGCTTTGACAGTTGGCTTTTTCTGGCAGACAGATCTCTGGCAAAGAGTTTGGAGGCTTGGTGCCGCTCAAACGTTTCTTCAATACAAGCTGTATTGAAGTTGCGTAAGTCCGCCGCTGCATTTGGAGATCTGTCTGTTCAGTTGTCTGTATGCTGTCAAATCTGTTGAAGACTGCAGCTTCATTATTCATCTAACAGCCATGAGATTAAGAGTGTGATCGGAGAGTTTTTGTGTTATTTTGCGGCGGGTCTTGCAAAACTTGCCTCCGACCGCATGGACAGTTTTCACGAGCTTATTTTTCATATCGTCCACTTCATTGCAGTCTTCTAGGCACTGAAAACGGTTTTGTAACTCGAGCTGAAAGGTTTCGGTACTTTGGATTAGAGCATGAGGGGGAAGGAACGTTGACTTCATTAGAAGAGAACTCTCCAATTTAACGTGTAGGTTCATTGTTCTTCTAACTATTCGGTGACTGCTACCAGTTTTCACCGTAAGAGTTGTCGTCTGATCGTCATAATGAAGTCAATCTCATTTTTTGTCAAACCGTCGGGACTCGACCAGGTCCACTTCCAGTGGGGCCGTTTCTGGAAGAAAGAGCTCATTATAAAGAGTCCCTCTTTCTCCATGAAGTCGGCCAGATGCTGGCGCCTTGGGTTGTGTTACCCTATTCCAAATTTCCCTATCTTCAGCTCACCATTCTCTCTTGTGCCTAGTTTTACATTGAAGTATCCCATTAACACCGTATAGTGGGTTCTGAAGGAATGCATGGCTAAAGAGATATCCTAATACATTTCCTCCACCTCCTCATCGGGATGTGCCGAGGTTGGTGCGTAAACCTGTATAACCTTCAACAAATACCGTTTTGTACTTCTGAGTATAAGGTACGCAACCCTTGTCGACACACTCTTTACAACATTGTTAATGAGAGACTTGTGGACGATAAATCCGACACCACCTTAGAACAGATGTTCGACCTCCCGGTGATTTTAAGTTGCCGGATTTGAGGATTACCGTGTTTTCCCCCCCTCTCTTCGGACCTTGGATAATCCTATAATATGCCAGCGTAACTTATCTATCTCTTCTTCCAGCTCCAAGATCTTCTCATCGGTCCTCAAGGTGCATCCATATCTCGTTACTACCTTGAGCTTCCGTATAGGGCCAACAGTAAGGAACTACAGCAGCAGTATAGCAACATTCACTAGTTGTACAACCTTGTTATCAAGTTTCAACAAATATTCCACCAAAAGATGAAATATGTCTATAGTAACTGATATTCATGCTATAAATGTTAATAAAGAGTAAGCGCACTTACCTCAGGAATAGTTGCGGTCAATATAGTAGCTAAAGACTTTTCTCCAGTTAACTCAGGGTATCCTGCATGAAAATGTAATGTTTCATTCAATTCCATCATTTTTTCCCCCTTCTCCATGCAGACTGTACATAAATCATTCATTTTCCTTTCAATTAAATGTTCTATAACCTGTTTAAATTTATGTTTTTCTATATGTTGCAAGTGTTTTCCAACATCTTCTGAAACCAGCCCACATTCATTACATTTAAATTCTTTTTTTGTTATATTGGTATCAGACTTTTTTCCAGATATATGAATCTGCTTTTTGTGATTTTTGTATTGAGAATATTTGACAAATGATTTGCCACAAAGTCTACAGTTATACCACATAGATTTTGGATGGATTTTCTCATGATTGATTAATGATTCTATGTTGGGTAATACCAGCCAACATCTTGGACATTCTAATTCACTTATTTCCATTTCATCTTCGTTTTCTTCAAGCGATGCACCAATATTTACTATATTAATTATTGGATCTGCATAACTCATAACTTTTTTATAATCTACGTACAGCATATTGAAGTTTGGATTCAATTTTCGTCTTCCTCGTTTTTTGACCCGTTCGAGAGGGTCTAACTTCTCAAACTTTTCATTAATATCATTGAAGTAGTTACGTAATGCACGTTCAGCGCGTTCACATTGCTGTGTGAATAAATATGAGCTAATTGTTTTATCTAAGCATTTGGTGCATATTTTGCTGGGAAAGTTGGGATCATCTGACACCTGAAATTATTAAATTATGAATATTATAAAAAATGTTATTGACAATGTTGTCTTCAATTACATTAATCCAATGTGAGACAAATGCTGATCACTGCAACTGCGTATTTTACACCTTCAGATTCTGCTACAATGATATATAGCATTAAATCAAATGATATCAAGATCAATAAACCAGGATGTGGATTAACATAATCATCATTAATTTTTCTTGGGATGCAGGCCTCTGCAACACAAAGATTGGCCAGAATACTATAGAAAAGATCGGTCAGAATATCATGCTGCATTTATGTCATAATATACAAAGTGGTTACACAATCCTTTCCGTTACAGCCTATTAAAGTCCACTGCTAAACATCCTCTCCCTCCCCTCAGGGGAGTTAGATTGCCTCATAAAGGAGATATTTGCCATAGTTGCCACGCTTGGTGAGCGGGATGGTCACTTATTATAGGATTTAATTAATAAGAATCATCTCAAAAAATAGTTTATTGATCACAAGCCTTCCCTAGTAGATATAAGAAATAATTGTAATACTATATATTCTACTGTTTTGTGGCTGTTACTACGGCACAGGTTGTCAGTCACATCGGAAAGGGCTTCTGGTTATAGGGAGGATTTGCCTTGAGGATTGTGCTTGACAGACAGATAAAACAAGCACAGCATCAAACATCTTCCACCCTGGATGCTGTTTCATTCTGCCATTCTGGTTATTTTAGGCTCAACGTAAAGAAGTTCTAAAGGTTCATATTTCAGAAGGCATAAGATATTTCTGGCATTTCCTGTAATTGCCAAATTACGTTGTCACGTCTGAGTACTAAGATCAATTGTCACACAACATTAAATTATCCTGGCTCTATATACCCTTCAAACTGAGATACGATAGTGCACATGCTACTATTTAGCAGCCGAAATATATAAGTTGTATGTTGTAACATCTGAACACTTAGATGAATTATCACGCAACATTAAATTATCCTGGCTCTCTATACCCTTCAAACGGGGACATGATAGTGCACATGCTACTATATAACAGAAGAAATATGTAAGTTCAACTACCTGAAGCCTGCTTTTCACTACGGGATATAATATAATATATATTACATCTCGAGCTATAAATTAATATCGCTCACCATACTTTTAAATGGAACCGTTTACACTGAGCTTATAATATATATTACAACTCAAGCTATAAATATTTTTTCAATCGGCCAAGCAATATTTTCATATTATATTTCGTCCCCTGTACTCCTCACACCATTCCGCACCGCCGCAGAACCGTGTGTGGGGTACAGGGGGTAATCCAATGACGAATGCAAACTGGTTAAAAGAAATATCTCAGTGTTCACACTGAGATATTTCTTTTAATAATTCTTTAAACCATAAATTATATACCACAATTGGCTTTCAGCCAATTGCGGTATATAATTTATATTTCGGGATATAATATATATTATATCCTATAGTGAAAAGTCAGCCTAACGTTATTTAACACTTAACAGTATTTGAAATTACTTATTTAATTGTTAATATCTGTTAGTAAAATCAATTACAGAGTACCACTTAAACCAAAAAGATTGTGTAAGTCATCCTCTCATCACCTCTTTGCTCCAAGCAGTTGCTGAAGCAAAGCCGCTGCATATACTTTTTTTTAGTTAATTTTTCTTCACCACTTGCCTATATTACTTATTCTGAAAGTTCTCTGCAGGTTTGGCCAGTTGTTGCAAAATAACTATATATAGAAGTGAAATACTAGTGACGTTGGAAAAAAAATACTCGTCAAAAAGTTGTTGACGAGTATGTTTACCTGGGACAAATAGTCCGACTAGGTAAGTCCAACTTCGACCGAGAGGTCAATCGACGGATTCAACTCGGTTGGGCAGTGTTCGGGAAATTACGGCACATCTTCTCGTCAGGTATACCTCAAAACTTGAAAACGAGACTGTACACCCAGTGCGTGTTGCCAGTGATGACATACGGAACTGAGACGTGGTCCTTCACTGCTGGCCGGATGAGGAAGCTCAAGGTCGCTCAGCGAGCTATGGAGAGGGCTATGCTCGGAGTTTCTCTGCGTGATAAACTCAGAAATGAGGATATCCGCAGTAGAACTAGAGTGACCGACATAGCCCAACGGATTAGTAAGCTGAAGTGGCAATGGGCCGGCCATATAGCTCGAAGAACCGACAACCGATGGGGAAGAAAGGTTCTCGAGTGGCAGCCTCGTACCGGCAGGCGAAGTGTAGGGCGTCCCCCCACTAGATGGAGTGACGACCTGGTAAGATATGCAGGAAGTCGATGGATGCAGGTGGCTCAGAACCGTGCTTTGTGGCATTCTTTGGGGGAGGCCTATGTTCAGCAGTGGACTTGTGAAGGGCTGTAATGATGATGATGATGGAAAAAAAATAAAATTAATGATTCTTAAGTGGCATTCTACATAACTTTTTTACTACTACCACCACTGTTGGAGGAAAAACTGAACTAAGGACTAATATATGAATACCATCATCGATTAAATGAGATATGTAAAAACAACAATGTGACTCTACAATGGATAAAGGGACACAGTGGATCCAGAGGCAATGATGCAGCAGACAACCTGGCCAGAAGAGAATCGGCTCTGGCCACTATAGGGCCTGAACCAATCCCCTTTAGTAACATTTGTTCACTAGTACTTAAACACTTCACTAATCAACACGCTCAGCTTTGGAAAAATCTAGGGAGGCCCTGACTGAAATAACCAAACCTGTCATCTAACCAAAGTTCTGATGAGACTGAACAAGCCACAGATCAAGATAGTAACAAGGGCTATCACAGGATACTGCACCTTTAACAAACATTTATTTACCATAGGTGTTACAGATAGTCCCCTCTGCAGGGCATGTATGGGAGAGGAAGAAACAGCAGCCCATGTGTGGCTGAAATGTCTGTAGTTCGCTACATACAGGGCTAAACATCTTGGCACGCTGAGATCACTCCCCAAAGTTGCATACAACATCAAAGGATTGTTGAACTTCTTTGGGGAGATCTCATGACTCGAATAATTACATTATTCCTACCCACACGCAAAATACACGCTTAGAAGTGGAGTTGCTGAAAACAGCCCGTCGTAAAATTAACTAAAATACTACTTCTACCACTGCTGGGGAGAAAAGTTGCCAATAGTGCAGCAATTAAATCTGTCATGTCAAGGTTTATACAATTTGAATAAATAACGAAATTTTCTAGTTATCGGGAGGAGAACTGAGGAAATTAAGAAATATACCATTGTTATATAGACTAGTAAAAGTAAAATTACCTGAAAAGGATAGAAGCTAGCGATCATATCCCTAATAGTGACTTGATATAATGCCCCTAAACTGGCCACTTCAAGGATCTCATCCAATTCCGATAAAGAGGTTGTTATTGACAAACAAAATCGGCATACTTTCCGCTTCAAGGTTCCTTGCAATAAAAACTGCACAGCGTCCTTAGTAGTCAAACCACCACTTTTATTATCTTTGAAATGCTGTAAAGATTTCTTACGACAGTTTAAATACGTTTTCATATCATTAGCGTTTGCTAGTTTTGGCTCCATTATTGGATTATAGAAATTCTGTCATTTCACTCAACTACTTATGATAATCGATGTTTACATTAGTGTATTAAAGCTTTTTTGCAGTTTAAAACCGTAACTTTTATATAATTTATTAATAATTATTGAAAAATCTAATAACTTGCTACATATATATTTATCTATGTCTAATAATTAAAATGTGGAAATGACAATGTCAATATTCTTTAATTAAGATTTTTTGGCTTGGATGCTTGTTCTTTAAGCCATTGACAATGTCAGACTCCGCTAATCTCAAGCAGTACAATATATTAGAGATGCAGCTTATATACTAGAACAGATAGAGGGACCTAAGTATTTAACGAGGCTAGGTTGCACCTATTCCAACTTTTAAAACACTCTATCCACGTGATCTCACTGTGACTACACGTCGCACGGCACCCGCGGCCCGTTTAAATCAAAGTACCGGCGCGTTGAAACGAGGTAGCATTTTGTTGCCATAGTTACTAGTCTGCTTTGCCTCTTACTAGTATTTGCCTAAATCACTCATTCGTCAGTCATTTGACTATAAGCCATATTTCAATGTACATAAAAATAACACGATGCACACTCGTGTTGTGCAAGAATATATCAGCCAGCTCATGCGATACCTTGAGGATCACCAGCTGATTAATGACCGCTAGTACGGTGTCCGTCGAGGTCGCTCAGCTGGTAATCTTCTAGGTTACCTAGCTCATAGATGGGCGGAGGCAGTGCATTCCAAGGGGGAGGCGTTGGCCGTAGGCAGTGGAGTCCAAGGGGGAGGCGTTGGCCGTTAGTTTGGACATAGCGAAGACTTTCGATTGGGTTCGGCACAAAGCGCTTCTTTCGAAGCTACCTTCCTATGGGCTTCCCGAGAAATTGTGCAATTGGATCACCAGTTTTCTTGCAGATCGGAGGATAAAGCTCGTATTAGACGGTGCATGCTCCGATTACAAGCCCATTAACGCTGGTGTTCCACAAGGCTGCGTGCTATCACCAACGCTGTTTCTTCTGCATATCAATTATATGTTGCAAACCAGTAACATTCATTGCTATGCAGACGACAGCACTGGTGATGCTTTATACACCGGCCGTGCCAATATTTCTCAGGAAAATGTCGCCGAGTACCGGAACAAACTTATGTCTGAAGTCGAGACATTATTGAACAAAGTCTCAGACTGGGGCGACTAAATCTAGTCCAGTTCAATCCCCAGAAGTAACAAGTATGCGCGTTTACCGCTAAAAGCAACCCCTTTGTCATATCTCCTCAGTTTCAAGGCACTCCCCTTGTTGCCTAAGCCAGTATCGGAATCCTCAGTGTCGACATATCGAGTGACGTGCAGTTTCGTGGTCACTCGGAAGAGAAAGCCAAATTGATCTCTAAAAAGCTTGGCGTGATCAGCAGAGCGGGACAGTATTTCATGCTGGCACACCGCTTGGATCTTTACAAGGCGCAGGTTCGTCCTCACGTGGAATACAATTCCCATCTCTGGGCAGAGGCTCCCCAGTGCCAGCTTCTTCCACTTGACCGCATCCAGCGCAGAGCGGGTTGAATCGTCGACGGCCGTGTTCTTTCTGATCGGCTTGATACACTGGCACTGCGTAGGAATGTTGCATTTCTTTGCGTATTTTATCGCATCTATCACGGGGAGTGCTCTGAGAAATTGTTCGGACTAAATCCAGCCGATCAATTTCACCATCGCACATCGCGACAAAACTCGCGATACCATTTATACCATCTGGATGATTGGCGGTCCACCACTGTGCAATTTAAAAGAAGTTTTCTCCCTCACACAACTTCCTTGTGGAATCGATTACCACCAGCGATTTTTCCGGACCGATACGACTTAAGGACCTTCAAGAAAAGAACATACTCCGTTTTAAAAGGCTGGCAACGCATCTGCGATTCCCCTGGTGTTGCAGTTGTTCACGGGCGGCGGTAGTTACTTACCATCAGGTGAGCCGCATGCTCGTTTGCCCCCTCTCCTATAAAAAAAATATATTTTGTCCTTTTTTACTATACTATTTCACAGTATTTCTTATTCTGTAAATACTCAAGACTATATAATACTATATAATACGGGACTTCAACCAAAGACTAGGCAGATTTTATACACTAGGTACTTGTAAATACTCGATGTGAATGACGATGCAGTCGAGTGAAGGTGAACGCCGGCTCGGCACCACATTGATAACTAGTTGAAGCTGTAATTGGATATGCGTATCGGACTTTTTTAGCCATAGGTTTTCGTAGGTGAATTTATGTTATGTGGTTAAAGAACTTTCGTTTTTATTTTTTATTAAGACATTAAAATGTAAATTGATTTAAAAAATGGCTTTCAAAGAAAGTAGTGTCCGTTGAGATCATTTTACGGTCAAAATCGAACAAATGTCTGAGTGTAACATTTATAAAATACAATTGAGTTTTAAAAATCCATAAGACTGATTTTCTCCGCGTGTATAAAAAGCAATTAATGTAAATAGCTGATTAAAAAAATAAAAGAAATATTTAAAAATAACGAAAATAGGCAAAAATTTTATTACTCAGAAAATAATTAATTGAAATATACTAGGAAGAAAAGGTATATGTACTTATGTACGCACTTAGGAAGTTACACTTCTTCTATAATTCAATTATCTAAATATGGCAACAATCTAGAATGTAGATAAATCTTTACGTTATTAGGGATACACAATGACTAAGCATACTTGTAAAGCCTAACCTATTCCAATCATATTAATCTTTATGCAGACTTCATAGAATAGGTATTTGGATCGAGTATTTGTACGGAATGGGACTAGGTGCACCTGGTACAAAATGTACGACTCATCTCTACAATATATGGTTGTAAATGGAAGGTAATCTAGTCACAGGTTAGTAAGATAAGTAAAAATTATTTTATAATATGTTTGTTGTGAATTGCTGCTTCTGTATTATTCTTATTGAAAGTCATTTTTTCTATTAAAGCAATTTTCACAAAGATATTATCTCTCTCTCTGCCCTGGGAAGAACCAGCAACAAACCCAGCTTGGCTTATATTTTCAAAATATTTTTTTACAATTAAATAAATGTTATTTAATGATTAAACATATATTTATCGATATAATAATAACAATTTTTGTACAGTTTTGCTTGTATAAATATTAAAACTTGGTAATTGGGAGACTTTTATATTATCTGCGAATTTGTTTTTATATTGTATACATTGCCCGTTGCCTCATGACTCATGAATAAATTACTGACTCTGTGGAGAAGCTAGGCATCTTAGAGTAATTACATACATACGTATACATTAGAGTGAACTTATAGTTTTACATAGCTTGAGTCAATATATTAAATGAAACTAATTTTTACAGATTTTTTCGCGTTTAATTTTACTTTTTAATTCACGACATTTTGGGTACTTTACAGCACCCATGGTCACGGGGGGGACTGAGGTGTTTGACCTTCTGATGTCATAGTTAGCCCGGCTACCTTCAGTTTTTGAAAATATTAATTTTTGGTCCGATCTACGCAGAATGAGCCTATAGTATCTTGAAGTCTTGCAGTGGTATGTTTGGGTTTGGATTTAATTTTATTAATTGTAGGATTCCAAGCAGATGGCAGCACCCATCCATCTTCTCTATTGAAGTTAGGAAGTTTTTTAATTTCAATAGCCTCGCGAATCATCCTTGGTAGGAATCGATGTTCTTTTGCGAGGATTTGTGGTCTATCAAATCTAATGTAATGGTTGGGACCATCTTGAACATCTTCATTTAATGTGTAGTCTTCGCGTAAATATAAGAAATCATTATTTGAGTCAATATAAGTACTTCTTCCGCTTTTCCTAATTTTATTTTCAAATGAGGCAAAAAGAGACAAATCTATTAAAAGATGTTTAGTGTAATTCATGCGTGGAAATAGAAATGTCAAGTGGTCATCTTTGGTCTCTTTTTACTATGCCAAATATAAGAGTAAGTACAATTGTATCTTCTGATTTACTAGAAAAATGACATCCCTATTGTAGTAGTATTATATGTGACGTTACTTTACAAGATATGATGTCTTTAATCTATAGTGATTTTGTTCGCAATGTTAGCAATAATCGACATCGATTAGTTATTTATTTTTATTACTTTATCATAAGTCTAAGAATATAAAGAAAATAGGACTAGACTTACTATTATTTGAACGATCAAGTAAATTGTTGTCTTATTCAAGTGATGATGATTATTATATTACATAGCAAATATTCGTTTTACAAACTTTAAACACTAATAGATAGGGAGGTATGGTTACTAAATCTTGACAGACACATGGTATATAAGCGAGTTGGATTATAAGCTTACTAACGATCAGCCCCGGCTTCACGCAACTGTTTTCTAAATCGCTATTGCACTACTTACCGGGTCCAATTGTGAGTGTGAGTGTTTATCAAAATCAGCCCAGCCATTCTCAAGTGATGATCTTTCATATATGCGGCAATTGATTTTAATTTATATAGATTTACCACTTGCTAAGCGGAAAACCATCCACTATATTCAACAAAGCTTTATCCGCTTGGAAAAAATATTTCGAAATCATAATCTTGAGGCAGGATCTTGATACTGTCATGTTGCGGCGGCGTAAAAAAGATTTACTAGCTCCTACCAAATAATATATAGATATTATTACCTAAAAACTCTAAGACACCATACCATCCCGTGAGTACCGTAAAAAACGATAGAGGAAAATAAAACAGGAGATAGGCAACAGTATCTTCCAGATAACAACCCAAAATAATAAAAATTGCGCTTGCCAACCCACTTGCTAAGAGAGGGAACTATGGCAAATATACTCTCTACGTTCAGCAGTGAACTTTTGATAGGCTGTAATTAATGAATAAATGATGGATAATATCTTGAGGGAGCAGAGAGGAAAACGGGTCATACGTTATACATAGGTCAGACGTACGTTCCGTGAATTAAGTCCAGTGTCGATTCAACAAACACAGTTATTATTCCCTCTTAAAGCCATAATAAAT